GAAGGAAGAGAGGAGAGAGGAAGGAACAGAGGAAGGGAGGAAGGGATGGGAACCCACACACAGGCTGTTAACAACCCAAAGCTGACAATTTCTATCAGAATTCTTCCTTATATTCCCTCCATATTCCCCTTCAGGTTTCACACCAAATCCTGATCCAGAAGGAGCTGAGAAAATCCATTTCTGAGCACATGTGCATGTTTTTGAGCAATGCTTTTCTTGACTGTTGGTAACTGAATAGGTGTGGTAGAACTTGGAGTGAAAATATGACTAGCTCAGAGCAGAAGTAAGACAGGAAGAAATTTGAAGTGCTCCAAATCCCTCTGTGTTCACGAATAGTAGCAAGTCCTGCATCCTCCAAAGGCAGGAGGAATGTTGAAAGATTTACATGCTCTGGGTACAACCCAGTGCCACTTCTCAAGGAAGTGATCTCAGGTAGGAGGTAAAGTTATCTCATTGCCTATAGGAACTAGTCTTACTATAAAATATTCAAAGGAGGAATGATGCAAACACCAAGTTTGGGGAAAATAACCTACTGTCTAATAGTGTGAGTTGAATTCTTTCTGCCCTTTCTGTGACAGAGGCAACACTTAATTACTGTTGCCTTCAAAAGTGACCTCATTTAAGAGCAATTAAAAATTAACTTATAATAATTAATCAAGCCTTAGTACGTTAATAGTCAAAACTTAGCAGAGAACAGATATTTTGCACACTTTAGATCATTAGAGTCTCTTCTAATTTATTCAATTAGAGATGTGAGTTAAAATCAAATTATTCTCCTTCTGCTCTCAGCTACTACAATGTCATCTGAACTCCCTTTCCTTGTGCCATCAGGGTAAACCTCTCCCCACTCAGCAGGTCTCAGTGACAAAACATGTCCTTACCTTCCCATCCATTATGGTAACGACATCAGGCAAACCACCAATGACTTTCCCACGATCTAGGAGAAAAATAAGGGGATTGTGTGAAGTTTAGACCTCAAAATTACTCATCTCTTAAATATTTTCCAACTTGGTGTCATAGCAGTCACAGGGGTTTTGGTTTACTTTGAAATTAGTAATTTCTTAAATATTTTTCAACTTGGTGTCGTAGCAGTCACAGGGGTTTTGGTTTACTTTTTTTCATTTCTCTTTAACAAAACATATTGTCATGTTTGCAACATTTTGTGTGGGTTTTTTTATTGCATTGTATGGTCCCCTCAGATGTTTAGAGCAGAGATTGTGCTGTAGCATTCTGAACTGATACACATAACAACCTTGAAGCTCCTGCTGAGCTTGACAGTTTGTGCTTTGGACCCAGAGCAGAGCAAGGAGGAGCTTTTAAGCATCTTGGTGGTATCTAAGATGTAAAGAAAATTGGTTCTGCCACTGCCTTTGTGAGCAGAAACATCTTGTCATTACCAGGGGAACTGGATATCAATTCCAGCATTCCCACAGTTCCTAGAAGGAACAAGCTTCCCCACTGCCTGGGTCACAGCAAACAGTGCACAACAGGCAATTTTGGGCTTAATAGCCAGACCCCAATGCTCAGGATCAGCAGCACCTTTCAGAGTCAACACCTCCTTGTACCACCCACAGTTCACACTTCCCCCACACCTGCAGGCACAAGAAGATAGAGTGGAGGACTGCAAAACAGGTAAAGCTTTTAGTGGCTTTCCATGGGCATGAAAGACAACTAACCCCACGAATTCCTATTCTTATTGCAGTATTTTGTGTAGACAGAGGATTTCTGCAGCCGCAGAGCTCCCTAAGCTGTGGCAGCAGAACGTGAGGGATGCCTTGAAAAGAACACTAGGGTACGTTTAGAGCACCTATGATAACATGCAAAATGAACTTACTCTTCTCAGCAAAGGCAGCTGCCCTAAAGTTGTTGAGGAAGAAAGAGAAATATATCATGTTACTAATGAAATTAGTAAGAAAATAACTTGAAATTTGAAATTAAAGACTCTGCTGTTACAGCATTAAAAAGCTGTAGCACTTACTTGAGTCGCTGGAATTCTGCACAGGCATCATCAAAAGCTGTAACAGAGCAATTGCCAGGGTTATTGGCCAGGAACATGACTTGCCCCTGGGCTCAGTGCAGACACTGGGACCCACACCCTTGTTACAGCTCTTCCAAAGCCCACACAGGGTCACACAATGGGAAGCCAGAGCCCTGAACCCAGTGAACCTGGTGCTGAGAGCAGATTCAAGACTACAAAGGTCATAATAGCTATGAAACTGAATTACAGCTGGTTCTGACTAAAGACAATCTGGTTTTACTGTCATTCCTCTGAATACTGCCAGGAAAATAAGCTTAATCTGTGAAAAGTCACCATAGAAATCTGGTTTTACATACTTACCTTGTCCAGACAGATCAAGTGTCCGTTTGTAGGATTGCTTGTCCCCAAAGATTTCAAAGGTGTAGTTCCCCTTATCCTTTTCAGTGGGTTCACTTATCTGCAGCCAGGCAACATCCTCTCCACCTCCAATCTTCATCTTTTCACCAGAAGAAATCTTAGATTCCCTGTAAAAAAGGAGTAGAGATGAGTTTGAACATTCTTTTCATGTATATTCTCCATAGGAGATCATAGAACCATCAAGGCTGGAGGACACCTCTAAGGTCATCGAGTCCAACCCTGAACCTGTCACTGCTGGAACCCCCAAACCCTAACCCAGATCCTGCAGTGCCACATCAGACACCTCTGAAACACCTCCAGGGATGGTGACTGCACCACCTCCCTGGGCAATATCCCAGTGCTGAACACCACAACAGGGAAAACATTTCTCCTCACACCCAATCTGACTCTGCCCTGGCTCAGCTCAAGGCCATTCCCTCTCTCCTCTCCCTGCAGCTGTGACAGGAAGACAGGAACAGAAAGTGCCAGTGACCATCATAACTGGATACTAATGTGATGGAAAGGAAAAGAAATTTCTTTTTGCCTCTGCCCTTTACTGTATTTTAATAGTGGCATAGTCCATTTCACTATCCATTTCATAAAGCTAAAGAATGCTCTGTGGGTGATATGGAAATATCAGTGTGTGTGTCTATCTTTCCATACAGACTCCCTCCTCAAAAATTTCAGATCCTATAATGCCTTTCACATTGATTATCTGGAAGATCACTGAACAAAGATTCTGAGCAAATTATCAATTCTTCTATGAATGCCATTATTATAATCAGAGCTGTTAAACCTAAAGCAAAAATGGAAATGACATTCTCATCTACCTGTGGCACCAGTTGACCTTCATTTCTTCGTTGTAGTACTTTAAGAAGCACTGGAGCCTTATTCCTTCTTCAGTGCAAAGGATCTTCAGGGGAGAGGCTGTCTTACCTACAGAGAACAGATCATATGCAGATCACACAGGATAGAAAGTGTAATGAAAGTCCAGTGGACTACTTGTACTGCCAGAACAAAACCCAATTCAGGATGTGGGCCATGATTCTCAGGTACTACAGAGACAACTGTTGTACCATCTGGGGCTAAATCCAGTTGGCAGTTAGTCACTAGTGCTGTTCCCCAGGGCTCAGGATTGGGGCCAGTCCTGGTTAACATCTCTATTGATGATCTGGATGTGGGGAGGGAGTGACCCTCAGGGAATTTGCAGAGGTGTCTGGATCAGGGGCTGGAGGATCTGGGTTAGTGACAGTTTCATGGTTGGACTCGATTTCAGAGGTCTCCTCCAGCCTTGAATGGTTCTATGCCTCTCAAGGGACATCTACTGATTTAAATCAGGTGAAAGTTCAGGATGAATTTATGGGTGTATTGTCATATAGAAGTGTTGTGACGAGCAAGATCCAGTGTGAAACAATAAGCAAGGCATCTAACTGCCATGAAACAGTGATGTTATGGTTCTAATTGCACAAAACTCTTGTTCTGGTGCAGGCTCTCTGTTCTGTCAGCTTCTCACTGGGAACAGGATCAGAATCTCATTCCCTCTCTCTCAAGGTTCACATACTAATGGGGAGTAGGAAGCAAATTATTGCCACAACATTTTCACAGTATCTAAACCAAACAAGCCAGGTGGAATAATACTTTGTTCCCTTTTAATAGTGTCAATTGGCAAGGTCAACTGCCTATTCAGAAACTTAATAACATGTCCATAATAATATAAGCATCAGGACATGCTGAGATTTCCCACTTAAAATAAAAATCTTCTGCCTCAGCCTCAGATAAATCCAACATAAAACACCTACATGAAAATTCAAGGCAGCATTTACTTACCACTCATTCCACTCAGTGCCAAAATTATATCGTCATAAACTGCAGAGAAAAAAAAAAAGAGAAGAAAATGTACCATCAAAATTCAATCAGAATATTGCTTTGTTATGTTCAGTTTAATTAAAGCAATGTGAGAAATCTCCATATCCTTAAGCAAAGAAACCCATTAAAAATGCAACAGGTGTACGGGACAAATTGGGAAGTGTCTGTGAGCAGCATATGAATCCTGAGCTGTGGCACTCAGGAGCTCTGCCTCGTGTGGCTCAGCTGTCTGCTGCCAAATCCTTGTCTCTGTGTCCCTCAGGACAGGCAAAGAGAAAAGGTCATTAAAAGTGGGTAGTTGGCACTCAAAGGAGAGTTCAAGGGAGCAGAAATTACCATGTCTAGGTGACACCAGTTTTCACCTGCCCCTGCTGAGCTCATGAATGGATTCAAGTCCATGAATAGACAGGAGGTGTTCAGCACCTCCAGGAGAGCAGGGACCATCACCTGTGATGGTTCCTTGGGGAGACAAACACCATCACTCCAAACATCCTCCCCTTCCTCCTCCTTCCTCCCACTGCACACCCTGAGCATGATGTGCTATGGTGTGGAATATCCCTTGGGTCAGGTTGGGTCACCTGTCCCAGCTGTGTCTCCTCCCAACCTCCCATGCAGCCCCAACTCCCTTGCCATGTGGCAGTGTGGGAAGCAGCAAAGGCCTTGGCTCTGGGTCAGCTCTGCTCAGCCACAACAACAAAATCTCTCTAATATCACCCCTGTGTTCTGCACAAATCCAAAACATAACCCTGTCCTAGCCACTGGGAAGAAAGATAACTCCCCTTCAGCCCAAACCAGCATGAGATGAAATGCTAAGAACCCCAAAAATGTTTGCTAACTTGTCATTTCAATGATAGGTCTTTGCCATGGACTATGTGGAGCTCCATGATAGCAAAGTGGATGTTACCTTTTCCTGATAATTCCAGAGAAGATACATCGTGACCTCTATCATCTGAGAGTGTTGCCTTATAAACTCCTTCATCTTTGCGTGACAGCTGCAAGAGAAGCACAAGAAGTTTACTGACAAACTTGCAAAGCAGAGTACATGGATCACATCATTGAATGCCAAGGAACAAGAGCAATCCAAGACAAGAGGAAAACACCCTCCCAAGCAAAACATCTACCCAAGGAAAATGAAGCCACTGGAGAGTCAGTATCCTCTTGCAAGTGAAATGAAGGAAGAAAACCAGAAGAATCTGAAGCCAGTAAATAAAATCAATAACTCAGTTAGATGGAATGCAGAAAATCTCAGTCCAAGGAGGTTTTGTCACTTGATGAAGGCAATGACTGTGCAAACTAAGGTTTCAGACACAGGTTAGGTTATGCTGTTTGCATAGAGATAACTTAAGAAGCCAGATGCTTCAAACTTTTTCATTTTAGGCAATAAAACTGAAGCACTGTAAAAAATAAGGTGCTTGAACAAACTGAAAATTAAGGAGCAATAGAAAATAAAGAGATGGAGTTCACCCAAGGATTCTGAAGCAACTTAAGCATGAACTGTGTGAGCTGAGAACAAAAATAGACAGTTCTTACTACCATTAGTTATTCACTAGCTAATTGGAGGGTAGAAAACATGTTTGTTCTCCAAACTGTTCACAGAAGTCATGATAGCTAGTTTACAGCTGGCATTTCTAACCAGCAGGTGATACTGTACCTTGGGAAGGCTGAGGTGACATTCTCCCTTCTGCACATCAGGCAATTCCTCAGTGTCAACCCCAGATCCATCCTTATACCACCTGAAGTCAGTCTCCTTCTTTGTGTTGGCAACCTGGACAACAGAAAAGGCACATCAGCCTGGCTACATCCTGAGGAAAGGCATCACAATGTGGGTAGTCACAGAATCATAGACTCAACCAGGCTGGAAAAGACCTCCAAGATCATCGAGTCCAACCCTCCCGTGGTCACTAGCCCATGGCACTAAGTGCCACATCCAGTCTCAGCTTGGAAACCTCCAGGGATGGGGAATCCACCACCTCCCTGGGCAGCACATTCCAATGCCTGAGCACTCTCACCAGTTTATAGCTTCAGAGTCCTGTAAACTCCTGAAAGGAAATCCTGTCAATCTCTTCCCTGAAAGGGTTTGCAGCCTTGCTCTGTGCTTGTGGCTTGTCTAGAGATGTAGAGCTGGGAGAAGTATCTTTGGAATTAGAGCTGCTGAACTCTCCTATATCTCCTTGTGTTTTCCATGTGACTCCAGAGAGATGTCACACAGAACTTGGGCCCTTCCTTAGAGAGGCCTGGGCCAATTTGGAGCTTTCTCCCAGCTACCTAAGCATGGTTAAACTGTAGAGAGAAACTATTTACTATTCTGGAATCATCCAAAGCTTCAAAATTGGAAGCTGTACCAAAAATCCCTTTTTTTTTCCCCACTACATTGTGTCTTATGGAGCATACAAAGGAATCCTATCAATTGCAGTCTCTCCCAACACAAAAGACCTTAACAACCCAGTGCAAATGCAGAGCAGTTGCTTGAAAGCCAGAATTTTGCTGTAGTAGCAGTAGCTCCTCTAAGCAATGCATGAATAGACTCCAGCTAGACCTCCAGTACTCTTCCCATTTGGCAAGAAAAACTGGAGGTGCTTAAAATATCACTGGATACATTATCTCAAGCTGTGATTTCAAGGAAACCAAAAGTCCAACTCTTTTTAGAAACCCTGAAAATAGGTTTTATTTTCCCCCTCACTTTCAAAACTGCTATGGTTTATTTAACAGCACAAAAATGCAATGGGATTTTCATGTGTAGCCTGAATTCCCAGTCAGAGTGGCTTTGGTAGAAGGACAGAGCTGGCAAAACATTTCTCAGTGCCCAGGCAGTTCCTTTCAAAAGGCTCCTTTAAAAAAAAATGGAAAAAACTGAACAAATGGATAGAGGGCAGCACAGAAGTTAATCCAGCTCTGCCAGAGTTTTCAAGTGGTTTGCTTGGAGGGAAAAACATGCATCCATTTCCAACATTTCCAACCCTTTCACACCAGAGAAGCCATTCCATAGATGAACAGCTCTGTGAGAGCTCTCTGTAGAGCTGACTAGACAAATAGGGTCTCCAATACTGATTCCTGAGCATCTCTCTAAAACCTGCTCAAATTAATCACATCTATTGCTGCTTACCAAGCAGGGTGGTTGCTATGGGTCTCTGACAGAGTATTTGAGACCACAGCCTGGCCCAGAGCAATGACTTGCTTGGGAAAAGTGAGCAGCATTTTACTTTTACCAGCAGCTACAAAGAGGCTGTTCCTGTAGTCTTATGACACGAGTGGCAATTTCATCTGAGCAGAGCCTGAAGGGGCAAAGCTTTAATGCTTTTCGACAATCTTTTCGTCAAAGATTGTTAGGACTCAATCTGACAGCAAAAAACTGCATTTGAGACACATGCAATTTGCAGTGCTGAACTTATTTCATGTTGACATTGACTCTGGAAAGTTACCTTTCTCACTGTTCAGCCACACGCCAAAAAACTTGTTTTTAAAAGACAGAACAAGTAAGAGTCAAAGCTATGCAAGAAGAGGTAGCTCCTGTGTGTTCTGAAAATTAGAATCACTAGAAGTAAAATTAGAGTGGTTTGTGGCATGTGGGGGAAAATAAACAATAAATAAAAAGCGAACACCATGAAATGGCACAGGGTGTGACTGTCAGGGATGTCTGTGCAGGGCAGGAGTTGGGCTGGGTGATCCTCAAGGGTCACTTCCAGCTCTGATTATTCTGTGAATTTTCATTCAAATGGACAACCACTGGCATTCAGGAACTACAATCCCATGAACAAGGTCATCAATCCCAGCTAATTCAGACTTCAATACTAAGTCAATCAAAACTAATCAGGTCCAATCACATAGAAAATAAGTGGGATGTGAGGCAACATTTGATAGAGTCTTTTAGAACACAATCCATATTTGTTTATTATCACAGTTATGAGCCTGGATCATAGAATCATAGAACCATCAAGGCTGGAGGAGACCTCTAAGATCATCCAGTCCAACCATGAACCTGTCACTGCTGGAACCCCCAAACCCTAACCCAGATCCTCCAGTGCCACATCAGACACCTCTGAAACACCTCCAGGGATGGTGACTGCACCACCTCCCTGGGCAATATCCCAGTGCTGAACACCACAACAGGGAAAACATTTCTCCTCACACCCAATCTGACTCTGCCCTGGCTCAGCTCAAGGCCATTCCCTCTCTCCTCTCCCTCAGCCCTGGCAGGACACACATCCCACACCTCTCTCCAGCCCTGGCAGGAGTTGCAGAGAGCCAGGAGGTCACCCCTGAGCCTCTTCTCCAGGCTGACCAACCCAACTCCCTCACCATTCCTTGTAGTACATGTTTTCTAGACCTGGATGATTGGTATGGATCATACAGTTAGTCCTTTGCCCTGCACAACCTTCCAGCTGATGTCCTTTCCTACCTCCCCTATGCCATGCTATGGCCTTTCAGAAAGCTAAGACAAAACACCCTCTCTTGTAGACACTTCCTTCCCTTGTCACAGGCTCTTTCAAGAGGCAAAAACACCATTGACAATGGTTTTTGCACGGGAGCACAGGACAGAGAAGAGGCCTAGAAGAGACCTGTGCCAGGTGCTGTGATACAGCCTGGGGAGACAGAGATGATTCCTTGACTGGTTTTATTCCCACAGAAATGGCCCAGGCTGGCCACACTTCTAACTTGTGTATCAGCTCTCTGAAGTTTGAAGGCCAAATCCTTGTTGTTGAAATTCATTCTATGTCCAGATACCATTTAAACAGCCACAAACAAGAGTACCATGTGAACCTAATGGCCACTCACATACTAACAGTACCAAACACAAGGTCAATAGCACAGTTAAAATGATGAGTGTGCAGCCAGCCCACAGCCCAGATTTCATCTGCATAAAATCTTCTGACCTTGGGAACAAAAAACACAGGGATGAAAAGCAAATAATCAGATGCTCAGCCTTGCACAGGTTCAGTGGCATAAACAGGCTCAATAGTCAATGAAAAGAGGAATAATTTCAGATTAATTTGTGGAGAATTACACTAGTCTAAGTGGTTCAGCAACATTTAATTCCCTGTGTGAATGAAGGGATAAGGAGGGCTCATGCCTGAGGCAAATGCATGTGGAGATTACAAAGTACTCCAGCTATGCAGCTCAGCACCAGCACTGGGACCACCAGCTAATGAGCTGGAGCCCTGAGCTGGGGGCACAGAGTGGCAGTGTCACCACCCAGCTCAGCCCTTCTGGGAATAACTGGAGGTTAAAGGTGTCCTAATTAGCAAGCAAAAAAAATAAATGAAGGGGGGAAAAAAAGCCACAAACGTGCATGTAAATTGCTCATAATGAATGATTCAAGTTAGTCTCATTAAAAGCCAAAAGTTATTCAAAGGAAGTGGAGAAAATTAACACAGAAGAGTCCAGATTGCAGGGAAAGACAGTGAAGAAGAGTTTGATGCCTGTTGAATTCAATTAACTTTGTCATTCAGACCTCGAATTAGTCACTCTAGAAGAGCAACAGAACTGAAAATGTTTCAGTTCAGAAAGGCACAAAGACATTATCAGCAGAAGTTCTGCTGAATTCAATGCACACGATCATTACTCAAGATTCAAAAGTCATTAGCCAAATATAATTTAAAAATCCCATTTTCTAACATTAATTCTGTGGCCTGTTTGGTTACAGTTGATTGAACAACAGATGCTTTGGTGAAGAAACCTCTAAATCAGGAAACTGTGAGGAAAGATGTGGAGCTCTGGCTTTACAGGGCTGGTTTTTTGAGGAGGGCAGAACAACCAATGGGGATTGGATGTTCTGCAGAAATTACTTTTAGGGGTCATGATTGTTATAAAGAATTTGACCACCCAACACATTTACTAATGTCACACAGTTTCTTTTTGTTCCAGTGAACATTTCTGCCGAAGAATAGTCTGACAAAAATGTTCAGATGAAATATTTCTAAGTACTAAAAACAGTTTTCGTATGAAACTTCTAATTTTAAACAAATCTCTTATCTGTCCTCGCGTTTTCCTACCTCAGATTTTAATCACCACACTCTAACAATTAATCATTTCAAGTACCTTACAAGACTCAAATCATTTCCTTACCTTACAGGAAAGTAAAACTTCACATTCCTCTGTAACATTCCAGTACAAGAACTCTGAGAAGTGAGGACCTAAGAAATGAAATTGCATCAATGTAGTAGAATAAGAGTATCAGAGAGACCCAGAGAAAGGAAGAGACAGGATGACACTTCCAACATCCTTTGAGCAGACTGAGAGGGAACTCCTGAGCTACCCATGCCCCTGGAAACTCCTGCAGGAAGATTTTATCACACTGACTCAGGTGTCTACGTTACAGCTGAGGAACCTGAGCCTCATCTCTGTTTGTGTAAGTCATGCAGCATTCCACAATTTCAAACAATGAGGGAGACAAATTAGTTTACTAATTACTTTTGTGCCAAATTGCCAACTGTGCATAGGAACGAAACAGCAGCTACAAACAATGTCTGTAATGCAAAAGCAACTGGGGAAGAAAGAAGTGTATCCAAACACCCCCCAATGGGCAAAGCAAATCCCCATGCCAAGTGGTTTTGTGAGTTTAGTGTCTGCAGGATCAGGCAATAATTGCAGTATCCAGACCTGGGAAGGAGCAAAGTCTCAGACTTTCACTTAGATCATTGAGAACCAAAAGATCTTGTGAGTTGATGCTATCAGTGCTATGATTTCTTTCCTAACTCAATTTTAAACAGCCCTCAAATCTTACTTCTCTACAGTCTTACCTAAATTACTTGGAATAAACACGTTTAATTATTTTTGTTTTCATCCTAAAAGCCACAAGTGAATATTCCAAACTAAAGCTCAATTAACTCATGTTTTTAAGGGTTTCACAGTGATAGAATTCTGAGTTAGGGATCCAACAGTAATTCTCACTTTCAGCTGCAAACAAAATCGATGACAAGTATAGCACAAACTCTACAACTCTATAGCAGCTATGCAACAAATATACATCTAGTTCCTGGAATTTTGCCTGGACAGAAACCACAGGATCAAGTTTTTAATCTTCCTTGTCTGGCACTCCTTGTCTTGGCTGTCTACTCTTGTGTCAGTTGCGTTGAACAGAAAATTTGTATGCTTAAAACTAAAGGTGATGAAATGCTGTGTTGGATCTGAGTCTACAGGAGGCTCATTTCTCATGAATATTGAGCAAAGATAACCTCTTGTAAGGACTCCCACCCTACTTCTGTACTTGGTGAAAGTTCTCTCACAAACAACATGTTTGACAATGTTGGAAAATAAGATCCACCAGGGGTTCAGTGTCTCCTCAGATTTTACAATAAACTCATCTTCTGCTGAAGACTGGAAGCTGTAAGCACTTAGTATTCAACAGGGGTGAACCATGAGCTGCAAACTGGGCCTGAAGTCACCAATCTACTCTGTCTTACCTTGCTTTCTGAGAAATTCCTTTCGCTGGAGTTCAGCATCAGCCAACACTGCCTTGAATGCTAAATTTCAGCAGAGGTGAATGAAAAATGAGTTAGTCACAAAAGCACTCAAAGAACAATTGAAGTTCAATTCTTCATCAGAGTTTCAGGGTTAACATACCATCTCCAATGAGAACCAGTGAAGACTGGTTCTTGGCCTTTCCATCCTGAATCTGCACCGTGTAGGTACCTTCATTGTCAATGGTAAACTTTTCCATCACCATTTCTATGATGCCATTTGAGCGATCACAGTTTATTTTGTGCCTCTGAAATAAACAAGTAAGAACAGTCATATAGTGTAAATGACTTGTGATTCCTATCAAAACAGTTGTGTCTTACATTCCTGCCTCCACACACTATCTTTTTCATGCCCTTTTACCTGCAAGCAGTGGAAAACAGAGCTGTGCTTGTGTTTACAGTTGTACAACCAGATCCCAGTGGTGAGAGAAGCCTCTGAGAGCAGCTGCATTTGGAATCCTTGAGTCACCACAATGCATCTGGCTTGGATTTGAAAAAGGTAGTTTATGGCACTGTATCTGTTTGAAGGTCTACACAGCCACCCTTTAGAATCAGAGAACCAAAATTGCCAAGGTTGGAGGAGACATCTAAGTCATCAAGTCCAACCAGATAATGCTATCTGTTCTTTGCAAAGAATGCTGAAGTGAAAGACCATGAGAAAAGAAACTTGTCCCAAACCAACAAAGCTTATGGGAACTAAAAAGAACAACCAAGTCCAGGCAAAGGGAATTAGAATTCTGTCAGAATATATAGTTCCCCACTAAAGTGTTTTCAGAATACTCAAAACACCAAATATTGACTCGAATTGAATGTTAAATATGCTTTTCCCTGTTTGTGTCCTTTATGTGTTTGCTTTCTATTAAATATTCCAGAAAGATAAATTATTGGCAGGCACCATAAAGGAAACAGAAAATTGCAAGTAAATATTGGACAATCCTTGCAAAATATGTGTTTTGAATTTGCAGGCACTGCTTTAGAAACACCTTTTACTAAGTAATATCCTCTTTGATGCAATACCAACTATGAGGACTGTGCCCCCCACTAACAGTGATGTCCTTTGAATCTCAACTAACAAATTCCTAAAGCAAAGTAAAAGTTACCCTGGGTCACCTGGGAAACTTAGTGCCATGGTCCAGTAACCACAGTAGGGTTGCACTTGATGATCTTGGAGGTCTTTTCCAACCTGGTTGATTCTGTGATTCTATAATTCTAGGAGTGTAACCCACAGGAGTTACTTGGTGAATACTTTTAGGTAACCAATGTGGTCAAGGTTATTACACACTGGTTCCCATTGGAAATGTCACCATCTAGAAGGAGCTAAATGCACTAAACTGTTATAGAACCCATTACTGTTAAATATATTAAAGATACTGTTAAAAGGACATATAGAATCATAGAATCAACCTGCTTGGAAAAGACCTCCAAGATCAAGTCCAACCCTACCATGGTCACTAGACCATGGCACTAAGTGCCACATCCAGTCTCAGCTTGAAAACCTCCAGGGACAGTGATTCCTTTTCTTCTTTCTTCTCCTTCCCTAAACTTTATCTGTCTGTGGCTTTAGTATCATTTATTACCTTCAGAGTCCAATAAACAGGTTAACCACAACACTCTGTTTATAAGGCATTATGTGTCCTTTTAACAGCATCTAAAATAAATCTAACAGTAATGGGTTCTGTTCAAAAATAAACAGATGTATGTTTAATCCAATCATTTGTAACAGTTCTAGTTCTTCTTTTTCTTTTTCTTTCTTTCTTTGAGGAAATCAAGTATGAAGAAATTCAAATGGCAGCTGAGAAATGGAGCTCTGTTCATTCCACTCTGAGAGCATTTTGAAACCTTCCCCCAAACATTCCCTGTTAGGACCTTGCAGGAAACATTTCTCACTTCAGCCAATGTCAAGACTCAGGCCACAATTCACCATGGTAATGGTCTATTGAACATGTTCAGTGACTGCAGCCCAGTCTCCAGGCAGGTTTGAGAGTGCAATTAGGCTTCTAACTATTGCCATTATGCAGCAAGATGAAGTTCAATGATTTTATGGGCCCCATAAATATTGGGCTTTTATGCAGCTTTCCACAGAAATCTCATCAGTCTCCCAACGTAAATGTCACCTGTGGGTTCCTAATTAAAGAGGTGAAATAATGCACTTCACTTCCAGACTCTTTCTGATGTCAACACTTCCAAAACATATGTGAACTAAAAATAGCTTGTTCTGTTCCACTAACATTGCCAAGGCAGAGTATTGTCATCTCAATACATCCCAGGCACTAAAATTCAGGTTTTCAGTGCTGTAGTTCATCATTTAAAGCGAGAGAAACAGAAGTATTTTACCCAGAAATACTTCTTCCACTTGTCAATATGGAATAAAAGCAAATGCTCTTTGTTTTCCTATGGCATAAAAATCCTGATAAGCTTCTCTGACCCAAACGAGGATTTGCATTTTCAGGAATAAACCTAATCTCTCCAACAGCTGCACTGGACATGGATTCCTCACAGGAAAATCTCTTTCCAGTGCTGTCCTTTGTAGTCTGTAGATGAACACTAGTCCTGCCAAGGCATGACCTTGCTTTCTTCTCAGACCAATCTCAGAGCTTTTTTGTGCCTCTTTGTATGAAAAGTCTTCCTAGACACTGAGACCCTGTCCCAGGGTGCCCAGGGAGGCTGTGGCTGCCCCAACCCTGGCAGTGTTCACAGCCAGGTTGGATGAGCCTTGAGCAACCTGCTCTGCTGGGAGGTGTCCCTGCCCAGGGCAGGGCTTGGGGCTGGGTCAGCTCTCAGCTCCATTCCAACCTCTAAAACTCTATGATTCTATGATTCTAGAGCTATAAAAATGCAGGAAGCTGCAGGTCTGCCCTTTCCTCTCCACGTAGCTGTTCAATGCCCTTTTGTTTCTAAGCCAAAATGTACATTATATGTAAAACCAAACACTGAGCCAGGCAGCCTGGAGAAATGGCTGAGTTCCCATCCCCAGGGATGTTGAAAAGATGTGCAGAGGTGGCACTTAGGAACATGGTTTAGTGGTGGACTTGGCAGTGTTCCAGTCACTGTTGGAATCCATGATCTTAAAGGTCTTTGCAACTTAAATGACTCTATGATAACAACAGAATCCCTATCATTAAAACCAAACCACAGTGCTCAATATGTACTTACATCACCATTTTCAACTTCTCTGTCATTGATAACAAATCTAAAGGTAGAATCTGGAGATAAACTTTCAGCCTGAATCCAGAAACGAACTTCTCCTTTCTCCAGAACCTCATAGGCTAGTTCTGATTTCAGAGGTATTGCTGCAGAAAGAAAGGAATCACAAGTCAGGAATGCATGAAACCTTGGGAGAAAAAAAGGATCACTGTAGGG